CAGTAATGAGGTATAACTTATAACCATTATTTGTTAATAATTATGGTTTATTTCTAGTACCAATGGTAGGTGTGAGCCTTACATTAAAAGACTCTAAAGCTGGAATTTGTGATGACTTTTATATTCCTGGCACTGATTATGTGTACATTCCAAATAGACGTCTTGGAGGCTCTCAGAATCTTTTAAGACAATTCTCGGAAGAACTATATGAGTACATTCCATCAATACCAGTCCGCTGTCGTGATATTGCTATTAGAGTTCTGTGTACTCACTATTACTTGCCCTGTGGTTTTAATGGTACCCTGCATGTTCCACTTCCTTTATGTCCTGATGTGTGTCGATACATGTCAGAAACATTGTGTCCTGATATTTGGTCATTCTTTGTTAGTTTTCTTACCTCTGATCAAATTGACCCTGAATTCCGAAATGATGAGGGAATAGAGTTACCATCCTGTAACAACACTAATAAGCTAATTGATTTTTTTAACTTGACTAGTGACTGTTGCTCTAATGGATATGTTTCACTACCACAGCCAACTGTCATAAAAACTAAAGGTGAATGTGTGTACAATCATTAAATAAACACATAGTTTAATGATTCCTAATATATATACATTTGTTTAAGGTTTATGTACATTATAATTACAAACAAAAAAGTGCTGATTTGTAGGTTAAGATATCAGTTATTAGGGACTTTTGAGAAGTCAGCCATGCAAGTATTTGATTACATATGTGTGACAATGATAACCCACTGTGTTTACAATAAATTTACAAGTTGTCATGCTTATCATTTTATATTTACTATAGGTAATAATGCAACTAGTACACCTGCTTCCTCAGTTATCCTGTCAGCAACATGTACTACTCCCAGCACTATAGTAACACCAGAATTAACCCTATCTTCATCAATGGTCATTCCTAGTGCTTCTTCATTTAAATTGATATCTGTTATAATCCCATTAGCAGTGACTATTTCATTAGTTCTACTGGTGGTATTTATAGCAGTGTTATTCATCATCTGTTTTTTTAAGAGGAGAGCAAAGATGAAGCAAAAGAAGATAGTGCTGCATGAAACTTAACTTGGCTCTGGGCCTTTATTATGTAAGTAAAACTCTCTATTGTAAGAAATAATGGTGTTTCTCTTAGGCCCATGCATATTTATCATTTGTTGACAATTTTGTGCCAATACTATACTGATACTATCATTTAACTTTCTCTTACTTGTATGTACAGTAGCTCCTGATAGCAGTAAAAACAATATTTATAATTCCAGCAAACGAATTGATATCTCATCAAAGTACATGGATCAATTATCAGATTATATAATATCAGGATCAATCATTCAAATACAAGAAACTGTTGGACAAGGTTTGAGCAACATTGAATTAAACATAGTTAGTTTTGCTTTGTTTAGGTGAATTTGGTATAGTGTATTGTGGTGTAATGACAAGTAACCCTCAATTGCCAAAAGCAGTAGCTGTGAAAACATTAAAAGGTTAGTTAATTGATCTTTTTACACATTGCATTTACATTAAAACTGCTTTATTTTTAAAATTATATCTTTTATAAGTGTATAGTAGTCACCCAATGAAATTTACATTTAAAGTTAACAGTCTTTTTATTTTTAGTTTTTTCAATTACCATTACTTATGCAAGTGAATGTGTGTATGACTGTATGCACTATAAATTTCAGACTTGAGTAAATTACTTCAATTTTGATCAGAATCAACTCAAACTAGATATATAACATCAAAACGTCAAAAAATTATAAAAATAGTGATTTTTTTAGCCATTTTTACAAAATACCATGGATCAGGTTTTTTTTAAAAGCTATACTTAGCAAGATAACACAGCACACCTCATGAGCTGGCTAGAAGATGAGCACTATACTGGTAAACCCTGATTGTCACACTTCCTTGTGTACAGTTTGTGTACATATAATCATAATTATAATGTTACTGAGGTAGATTGAGAACATTTTTTATTACATTTTCTGATGCATATTGATGCTACTATGCTATGTAGCAAGTTTGAGTTGATTCCAACAAATATTTTTCAAGTTGCGGCCATTTTAAGAAAATGCCAAAACTCTGAAAAATGTCAATAGTTTATTTAATTAATGGCTCCGAAATCACCCCAAATTTTTATTACATGTTCTGATACATA